AACCATCAAAGTTTTCAGTTTTTATTAGTATATTCTCTTTTCATTGAACTTTTTCAACCGTGAAGCTTGAACATGCGATTCATGATTTGTAAAAAACTCTATGTATTACCGTATGAATGACGTCAAATCGTAATTTATGTTTAACTAATTTTTTGATTTCTTTTCAACGGAAAAAATGGATATTTCTCTGAGAAAGTTGTTCACATTTCTCTAGATTAACATGCATTCGAAATATTAATATCTTCTCTTAATTAACAAACACTTAAATTCATAAAGTGAGAAGTAGATCAAACATAACATTAAGGATAAAGAACGATCGAGAGAGAGAGACAAACCGACGGAGAGAAAAGCAAAATAAGATGATGTCATATACATATACATTATATATATTCCTTTTTTGTTACACCATGCATGATAGTTGAAGCGTTTGCAGAAAATTTTTTTGATCACAAGAAAAATAGCATTAATATTTTTTCAAATTGAATTATTTACGCAAAAACTAACTAGTGTTGTTTCCATATATAAAGCATCTTCAGAAATATTTGCTTCTACGTAAGTTTATTATACTTCCTCTAATGGCAAACACAAATAATACTTTCGATAGCGAAGCACCTTCTGCCTATGCGGAACTTGCTATTTCTTATCCTGTTCGGTTTTGGCTTTTTCTTATCTCCAATATCTTATCAATGCAGTGTTGTCTATTCATTCTATATCATCTTTTATTTATTCGAAATCTTCGTAAATCACTAAATAATCATATAATTATAGTTTTACTCTTACTCGACTTGAGTTTTGAATGTACTAATATTCCGTTTACCCTTCACTACTATCGACTTAATGGTATTTGGCAAATCACACGTCCGTTTTCTCAAATTTGGTCATTTCTCAACTTTGGAATCTTTCCAACAAAAACGATTGTCTTTGCTTGGTGTACTGTTGAAAGACATATACTTGTTTTCCACAATCGATTGTTACTAAATACACGGAAACGATTTTTTTTGCATTATCTACCTTTAATAATTGTTCCTCTCTACAGTTTAATTTATTATAGTTTAATAATATTTTACCCATTTTGTGATTATTTATATTATCAATCGACAATCAATGGTGTGTACATTCCTTGTTTTCTTGTGGATCCCATACTCTCTAAATTTGATCTAATAATTCATCAAATAATTCCAGTATTAATTATTATCATCTCTACTCTGGGACTTTTTTTTCGTTTTATACGACAAAAAACTAATTTAAGACAATCTGTTCAATGGGGAAAACAAAGAAAATTGATACTTCAAGTATTATCAATCTTCATTCTCTTTGCCGGTTTTCAATTTCCATGGACAATTTTGCAACTTTGTGGTCTACTTGGCCTTTCATTGGATTCATTAGGAAACACTAAGAATTACATGTTTTTTTTTGGATGTTATGTTATATTTCTTTTTCCATTTGTTTGTTGCGGAACATTACCTGAAATTGGTAAGAAAGTGGAAAATTTTCTCTGCTGGAAGAAACAACATCCAAGAATTATTCCTGCTTCAATGCCACTGAACAATCATGAGAATTTAAACAAATAACCTGAGGGTGTGAGGATGTATTAATCAATTGAAAACACATCAATCTATATCTTTTTTAATAATATAAATCAATCTGCTACTCTCAGCTTTTGCTTTTCAGCAATTGATTAAGTCGAAATAAATTTTTAAAATAATATTGATAATGTGCTTCAAATCAAATTAATAAGAAATAATGCTAAGGGTGTGGGTGGTGGTTGTGGGTGTGGTGTGGGTGCGGGTGACACCGGATTTCTCTTCCTCCATACCGACACCCAGCCACACTCACCTCCACTCCCACACCCACACCCCACCCACACCCAAACACCCCCACATCCACACCCACACCCCCACACCCACATCCACACCCAATTCAAAAGTGAAAACACTTGTGAACTATTCCTTATGCGTTTCAATCCCTTATCTAGCTAGTCAATCTGAGATTTCATTGAGCTCGCCATCGAAAGAAGGTTAAATATATGATTTCACACTAAAAAACTAGCTTAATAGACCACATCTCATACCAAAAAAATTGTGAAATAGAAATAGAAGCTACTATATTTCACTGTAGGAGTTCCGATGTGGCGCTATTCACACTTAGCTAGTACTATCTTTGAACACATATTCACAAATGACTACTTTCTTATTCTAGGCATGACTAATCCACATTTTAACTGCTTCAAAAGCTTCTCTACTCGTAACTATAGAGTACTAGATTTCCTATATCCAGCAAGATATCTATTAAATATATACGTGTCGTCTCTCGAGTTTCTCCATGTTTATAGGACTCCTTCTCTACATAAAGTGTCATATGTTAAGTCTCAATGGCACTTTTTTAAGGATCTTGCTTGATGTTATGCAGAAATGTCGTAAAACAGATTTTGAATAAACCTAGTTTGGAGGCAGCTGTTCTTCCATCGTCCTTTCGAAAGAACGCCATTCACGGCTATCCGCTGCTTCCAGCTACTTTACATTCACGAAAGGTTGATACCATTTTCAAAATCGAGCCATCGTTCCTGTTTAAAAAACTGATGGAAAGTTTGATCCTTTACAAAAAAATTCATCCACATTAGAAATTTTCTTTAGAAGCCTATCAGTATCCCGGAAGAGGACACGTTAGTATAGACTTACTGATAATCTGAAATCTTCTTAATAAGTGGACACAGCCGTTGTATCCTGTCAATCGAAATAATTTTTTTGCGTAACTCGCTCTCATTCCTCAATCTTTGTTCTATAAGCACCCTAATTCCATCTTATCTTCGTATTTCTTGATTCATTTCACTGCTATCACGTATTACAAAGTACTTGCAGTTTCTCAACATCACTTCTCATAGAACGAAAAGATTCGAGATCTGAATTTTGGAATCCTGATTCCAGATTCGGATTTCTCACCCTCGATAACCTCTAACAAAGTTCGATCAAAACGGCCAAAAGTCGTAAAATAAAAAAGTTCTTTTTTGATTGGCCGGTTTCCGACCAATGAAATCTTGGTCAAAGAAATGGGCTTCGGATTCGGATTCAGGGCCATCGATAACCTATAGCAAAGTTTCATCAAATCGTCGAAAAGCCTTAAAATAAAAAAGCTAGTTTCTGATTGGCCGGATTTCGGCCAATGGAAGCTCTGCCAAAAAACTGACTTCGGATTCGGAATCCTGGCCATCGATAACCTATAGCAGAGTTCGATCAAAACGGCCAAAAGTCTTAAAATAGAAAAGCTCATTTCTGATTGACCGGTTCCTGACCAATGAAATCTCGGCCAAAAAATGGGCTTCAGATTCGGATTCAGGGACCCCGATAACCTATAGCAAAGTTCACTCAAAACGACCAAAAGTCTTAAAATAAGCTAACCTCTCTGATATGTTTTTTTTTACCTCAATCAAGCAAGATAACAAACAAACGCATTTTATTTCGTATGACCCTCCCTTTAGTCGAGGGAATAAAACTAAACTTTCATAAATGGTCATGTTTATCACAGAAAGACGAATAATTTGTACTTAAAAGTTCTAAATATTGCAACTGCTATTGGTTAAAATAAATTAATCATTGGTGTTGACATAAAGTGAGTGAAAATATGAATTTTTCTTAGCTGAAAACCACTTAGATTTCTTTGGTAAGATCAATTATATTAATAATAGAATTGATTTCGATTATTCCTATGAAGAAAATAAACTTGTGCCACAAAGCCATAAGTATGCGAACTTCAATGGATTAAAACAAGGACATTAAAATGTTTGATAACACTGGTATTTATGATAGATCTTGCATAGAAATCAATGTTTCAAGATCTTACGTAATAATTCTTCAAGGATATAATCTATTGATGGTTATAATAAATGAGAGAAGTTTTTTGACAAGAGAAGACTTTTATTTGTAGTCCAATGTTTTAAAATACGATAGAAATGATTTGAAAAAATACAGAAAATTGTAAAGATTATCATTGTATTTGGTGAATTGAATACTAAAACTATATGAAATTAAAATAGATCAAATATTTATTAGAAACATGAAATTCAATATTTGATTGTGCTTATTGATCTTGTATCATTATATTGATTTGTCTTTTAATAGATGCTTGCATAGATTATCGTTCGATATATTGAAAATGAATGACATGTCTCAGTATAAATGATAAATTTATTTTTAGTATGTCTCTATTTTTATAAGAGAAACAAAAATAATTTTTTTTCTATAGTTTCTAATACTTAGTGGTGAACTTACATATGCTTGTATACAAATAACTATCAATACATGTAACAGTTTCAAATTTGAATTTAAGAGAATTGGTTTATAAAACTAATCTTTTCTTTTTCATTCATACGAATCTTGCTTTGTATATAGGGATCGTATTTTTCTTAAATAGTTTTTCCTTTTATTTCATTAGTGCGTGCATCTTTCATAGAGAAAAAAAACTTCAACTATTTACGAAGAAAACACCAAATATCTTATGTTTTTTTCTCTTTTGTAGCCGTTGAAAGAAAAGAAAGTAAATTATTAGAAATTAAAAATTGAATAGTTTGGTTTTGGTTTTTTTATTTGAAAGTGAGCTATGTTCGCTAATGAAAATAAAGTAATGGAGTATTTTTAGAATATTTGTCAATTCGACACATTGATGCATACTCGTGCAAGCAACAATAATACGAAATAATTTTTTTTTATATGAATCTTTCTTCATCAAAAGCAGCAAATAATAGATTGTGAAGCGTATGTGTCAATAAGGAGTGGAGCAAAGTCACATTAAAAAAAGGTAACTCGACGATATATAGAAAGGGAACAACAAAAAAAGTGTGAGCATAATCCAAGCAAATATTCAGAAGAACAGAAAAAAAGTGAATAAGGCGTACTGACTGTGTGCGTCGTATAAATATCCATCACATACATCTATCTTTGTAAAGAATAAAACGACAAAAAAATATCAATACGAGACAACAACTATCATCATAACAAAAAGAAGAAATGGGTAAACTCGATGGAAAAGTTGCTCTCATTACAGGTGGCTCTAAGGGTATTGGCCTGGCTACTGCCCAACGGTTCATTGCCGAAGGTGCAGAACATGTCTTCATTACTGGTCGAGGACAAGAAGCACTTGACGAAGCTGTCAAAACAATCGGTACGAAGAATGTGACTGCAGTGCAGTGTGATGCATCTAATATGGCTGATCTCGACAAGCTATACAATGTGATTCAGAAAGAGAAGGGTCGTTTAGATGTTCTCTTTGCCAATGCAGGTACTGGCTCGACTAAACCACTGGGTTCAATCACTGAAAAAGAGTTTGATGATACATTTAACGTACATGTGAAAGGAGTATTATTTACCGTTCAAAAAGCTTTGCCATTATTTGCAGACGGAGGATCAATCATCTTGAATGCATCTATATGCACCGTCAAAGGAATTCCAGGTATGAGCGTTTACAGTGCCGCAAAGGCCGCCCTTCGCTCTTTCGCTCGTTGTTGGACAGTTGACTTAAAGGAGCGAAAGATTCGAGTGAATACTTTGAGCCCAGGACCGATCGACACGCCTGAAACAAGACGCTTAAAAAGCAGTGTACCAGAAATCGAAAAATTGGTCTCCAATATATTAGATGCTACGGTGATGAAGCGCGTTGGCACACCTGATGAAGTTGCAAAAGCTGCAGTTTTTCTCGCTTCTGACGACAGTAGTTATGTAACGGGTATCGAACTTTTTGTTGATGGAGGCATGGCACAAGTCTAAGATGCTTTTTTTTGGTTCGCCAAAGTTTCTAATAAAATATGCAAAATTTAGACGAGATTTACCAATTGAGGACGAACAAAAAGACCCAGAAAAATATCACTTTACCTTAAATGCTACGAGTAATTAGTAATCCTCATTCTTAGCTACTTTTTGAAACTCTTCTTAATGTTTGCAGTTAAGAGCAAATTTTAGATGAATAAACTCACATTTCTATACAACTTTATTTATGAATTCAGCTGGCATTAGATAAAGTATATAGGTATCAGAGAAATATCTGAAAAATCGAAATTTGAAAAATAATGCAACCACTTTCACAGACTAGCATATAGTTATTACTAATCAAAAGCTCCATTGAGATCGTTATCTATTGTACAAGGCATTTTCATTTGAGTTAGATGATTTATTTTGCTATGATTACGTTTGTTTGTACTGCATTAATATGACGGGGGTGGGTGTGGGGTGTGGGTGTGGGTGGGTGGGGGTGTGGGTGTGGGTGGGTGTGGGTGGGTGTGGGTGGGTGTGGGTGGGTGTGGGTGGTTGTGGGTGTGAGTGTGGTGTGTGGGTGTGGGTGGGTGTGGGTGTGGAGTGGATGTGGGTGTGGGTGTTGTTTTCATCCATAGAAACATTCGTACCCACACCCGTACCCATACCCATACCCCATAAACCCACACCGACACACATACCCACACCCACGCCCACTCCCACACCCACACCCACACCCACACACCCACACTCACACCCACATCCACACACCCACACCCACATCCACACACCCACGCCCACACCCACTCACACCCACCCACACCCACCCACACCCACACCCCCACCCACCCACACCCACACTCACACCTACCCACACCCCACACCCCTAAACATCCTTCTCCTCCATAAAACTGTAACTATTTAATTTCGAATACCAATAACCATTTCTTTCCATTCCTATCCATTCTCTGTCATTCCCATCTATTTCCATCTATTCCCAACCATTCCTATCCATTCGCAACCATTCCCATCTACTCTCATCCATTCCCATCTATTCCCATCCATTCCCATCCATTCGGAGCCATTCGAATGGCTGCGAATGAGCTTTTTCCCCGTTGAGTCTCAGGCCAAGACGAACGGTTAAGGAACGCGTTCTAAACGCACGACCGTATGAAAACGCATTCCGAATGCGTTTCGAACGCGTTGTATAGATGTCGTTCGTCTTACACGCGTTCGTAGAGTTCTTGTCTCCTCTGTGAAGGTTACGAGCGAGTGATGAATTACAACATGGCAGTCTTGCACATATATAAAATAACTTAGCATTTTTAGTTTTGAATATTAACTAAGCATGTGAGAAAAATAATTATAAAATATATTTGGTAAAGAATTATTTTACATAACTATATTTTTTTATTTTATTTTATTTTTTTTGTAGACCAATAGACAATCTATGCAAATTGTTCTTTTTAGATACGAACTTATTTTGGATTTTATATAATGAATAAGCCAATTGATGCTGTTGTGCCCGGTGCCAATGATTTATGTATTAGTGAATTTCAGGCATACCTTAATTTTCATTTCTCAATTATTTTTTACAACATTTAATTATATCTGATTTCGTATAGATCTCAAATTAAGAAGACCGCAATACTTAAGATAATAACAACGTGTTTACGAAAAATGTTTTGATTCCATTCGCAAAAGATGTTTTTTTTTATTGATGTAAGCTTGTTCATATAATTTAAAAACTTTTATAACAGTTTTGTACTATTATTATACCAAATATAAAGAATACTATTGATTCCATTTATGATCCAAATAATAATGAAGAAAATAAATGTGGGAACTTTGGATTTAAATCCGAGAGTTATTTGTACTTCAAAAAGTGAATCAGACAGATGAGTTATCCTAGAATGTGTAGACATCAAAATTTTCCTGACAAACCTTTTCTATAAACACTTGATTTCTATTGGCTACAACTCAAGAAATAGGATTTGGGGACGCATAAAGCTCAGATTTGAACTCTTCGCCTTGATTTATCCTAAGAAAGTCGTTTTTCCTATAACTTGATTTCTATTGGTTACTGCTGAACCAATGATATTTCGAGGCAAGTGGAGAACAGATTCTAGTTCTCCGTCCCAGAAAACGTCAAAGTATCATCTCTATGATCGAAAGATAGAGCTCTATTTGTGGATCAATTAGAGCGTGGACAAAAATAGAACCGATTTCCGTTGAATTATTCTTGCAATAGATAAGCTAGTCTTCTTGTTTCTTTATGTTTTATGTTTTATGTACCATTTTGTAGCTCGTGAAATTCTCTATCGAATGGTATATAATAGCTGGGGTTTTATTTGACTATGACAGGAAATGTTTTTTACGAAAGCGAGGATAAGTAAATTTTCACATAGGAAGATATAGGGAAAAATGACTGTTTTTGCAATAACTCAGGAATGGCTCGACCAATCATTCTCATCTTTGAATTCGACCGAGATATTGTTGAGGCTAAACTGTGTAGAAAATTTCATCGTTATCGGACTCTCTTTTCAAAAGTTATCGTGTAAACGGCCGGACACACTGACCGATTCTAGAGTGTACTCACTTTTTGAATACACAAAAATAATATTAATACTGTATCAGAAGATTTAAATAAAAAAGGTCAACAGATTTTTGATTTTGAATAAATCTTCTTTTTGCCTTTTACGATCTTCAGTCTTTTGCACACGGTTTTAGATGATTATTACGATAATGATGATGAAAATATTTTAAATAATAATATTTTTCTGATATTAGATTTACAAGATTTGGAAAGTGAAGATTCAAATGAATCTGATAAAAATGTAAATGATGTGAAAATCAACGTACAAATCATGAACAATTTTTGTAGAAAATAGTAGATTTTATTCGACAATCAAATTTAACCAAAATATCAACATGATTATTATTAAGACTATTACACACTAAAATAAAATGTGTCGTATATATGTGTCGTACAAGAATGTGTCGCAGACTCCATTACAAAAATGTGTCGTAAAAAAATGTGTCGCATTATAGATGTGTCATAGCCTATATGTCAATCGTTCATTCACCGATTTGTTTCGAGAGTGCAGCTGCATATAACCGAGCCTATTGGACGTACTTGACTTATACATTTTCGTATGTCTTTTTTTTCTCGATTATTTCTCAACCATTTATTATTCGAGAACATGTCGAGAGGTCGCTAGATGATCGAGAATGGACTGCCTCGAAGTAGTCTGATCGAGATCAAATGGTCTCGAGGCAGCTAGATCTTAAGATCTACCGTCTCGAACTCCAAGAATAGGTGCTACTGTTTGAAATTAACTGAAAAAATAGTAACTATTCGAATTTTCAAAAAAAAATAATCCTCGTGCCGAAAAATGGATTCGAACCACGTGTTAAAAATGTGTCGCATGTGTCGCACAAGAATGTGTCGTACGTCCGCTGGAAGAAATGTGTCGCAACGAGCTCCTCGTGTCGCATATTAATGTGTCGTACATTGTGTCGCAAAGTGCGACACATGTGACACATTTTATCTTAGTGTGTACGATTTACAAATACATCAACAAGTCATGTTATTCCAAAAACTGCTCATTCATTATAAAAACAACTTGACATTTCATTTTATTATGAAAAATTCAGTTTTTGCTCTAGTTTCTTTTCAACATTAATGAAATTTCAAGATAAATATATGATTATTTTTTTAACAACGACAACAACACCATAGAAGCTTTTTGGAATAATCAAGGTAAAATTGTTCGTGGTAATCAAAGACGAGGACGTTTATTTGGAGAAAAACATTCATCGTAAGTTTTGACTGAAGTGACATTGAGTGAAATGGTTTTTAATTTTTTCAGTTCAACTTCTAAAGAAACCAATCCAACTAGAAATAATGAAAATGGTCAACCAACTACAGACAACGAAGATGAAGAATGAATAAAACATTACCAACAGTATACATTAAATGAAAATTAAGAATAATACTCAAACAAGTAATTTTTCTTTTCTTTCTAGTACTTTTTCTTGATTCACTATTCGATATGTATTTTTATGAAATAGTATTTTATTTGTAAAATCTCACGTGTTGTTATCTCTATCTGCTCTATCTAACTTTCTTCTTATTTTCTGTATGAATGTGTATTTCAGATATTGTAAAAATCATAAGATACGAAAATAGATATGCTCTTTGTGAGAGCAACTTGAGTGCCGCTATATAGACCATTGAAATCACCTTTTGCGATTATTTAGAACATCTGGAAGAACGTAAATAAAACTGTATAAAAAAATACGTTCGGAACACACGAACGTTTTCCAAACTACTAGTTCCGAATGCGTTCGCAAGCTATGTTCGGAAAGCGTTCTTTAATCGTTCGCCTCAACCTGAGACGCATATATCAATTAAAGCTTGAATATTTAATTAATTCAGTTTTTGTAGTATTAGAAAAACAAATGTTTTAATTTTTCAACTTTAATATTGAGGAGTTTGAAGTTTTAATAATATTCTAAAAGTTCATTTTAATTATGATCACAAATGAGAGAGCTTTTTGTTCCCACGAAAAGTATAATAATACCTATATCTAACATCATTTTTTAAACTTTTTTCTCTTTATATTCTATGCATCGATTTCAACTGTTTGAAAGACAAGAGATAAGAGCAAAATAGAATCTTATTGAAATTTTATTGCGACTAGCTATGAAAATCATAAGGTTAGACCAAAGAATAATATTCCTTCGTTGAACAAGATCACCGCTACCAATGTACACACTTATTCGTTAGGTGTCGAAACTTTTAATATCGAGTCTCAGCTATCTAGAAACGAATATTGCTGAGCCAGAAGCTATATATTAATGATTGAATTTCTCAATATATTGTTAGATTTCTGTTCAATAACTTTATTGAAAAGATCATTCAACACAGTTTGCTAAATGTATGAGTATCAACTCTGTATGAGTAAATTTTAAAAAGTATACCACATCCACATTCGATATAACGCCAACAACCTATCATCATTTCAAATGTGAATTTACTGTAGAATACCTATATCTAAAGACGCTTTATCAGTAAGGATAGACTATTATTTATTTGTCAAATAATGAAGTCGAACATAGTATCTTAGAAGTGCAGTTGAATACAAAGATTATAAAAAGATTGGTATCCACTACATGTGATCGTTCCTTTCTCTAATAGCTAGTTGTCTGGTTTCCAAAGATCAAATCAGGGTGACAGAGTCTTTCTAAGATAAATGAAGTGTCATTGTACGATGATTTGTTGACTTCAATTTTCTTAAACTTCTAGCAGGAATGATAGCCATCGCCTACTCGTTGGACTAAAAGCCTCTATGCGAATGTCTTTAGATTGTAACGATGATAGCTAATTTATGTTTCAACGTATTAAATGGTCATGATTATTGGTTACCTCTTACTCTTAATACATCGGACCGTATCAACAGATTGATATTTGATGCAGTTGCACCT